ACCACATGAATCATCTAGGGTATTTATGTTTTCTTTGCCACTTCGACTCAAATAGCGATTTTAAAGTTTTACAAGTGAGTCTAAGTTTTACAAATATTTTACTTATGTCCTTTGGTTTCAATGTATTCTTTTCACTATCAAAATCATATTTATACTTTGTACTAGTACGTATTCGACTTTTCTTTGACTCACTTACATCTTTGATGATTGAAGCATAATGTGTTCATTTGATTATATTAGGATACCTTGGTGATTGAGAGTGTATCCGGAAGGAAATTTTGGACTTTATTTTGCTTAAATAGGTGAGTGTTCCTTGTTGTTATGTTACTCTTGACTATATGCCTTGTTCCATGTTATGGATATTTGATTAAATGTTAAATGCTTTCAATGATTGCTAAAAACGAGTTTTCTAAGCGATTGTGTACTTTATCGCACTCGACCTAAATGAATATGAAATTTTCAATGATTGAATGATTATATATGCATGAATGTAAGCCATTGGCTGAACTGGGCCCTGCCCTTCGTTACTGATCGACTCGAGCCAGAAGCGGACTCGGTCGGGCGATTTAGTGACCCTGGGTGAACGTTTGGTATACTCGAATATTATCTTGTTGTCGGATGGAGTCCGGCCAACGTCCCGAAGGGGGTGAAATGAAATGAATGAATGAGTGGCAATGAATGAAATGAAGGGTTTTACTTATCAAAATGCATTTTCAAATAATTGGAGGAATAAGGGGAATGACAGGAGAATGAACAAACGAACGAACGAACGAACGAATAGCTCCATATGAGCCCGTATCCTTTTAATGAATGTGTTGTTATTGCTTTCCCTTGTACATGTTTCTTGGACTGGATTGACTATTTGATTATGTGTTTGGAACCTCACTGAGCTTTTGGCTCATCCCTTTAGTTTTGTTTTCCTTAACATGGGAAGGCGAGCAAGGACGAGAGAGACTAGCCTGGACTAGTTTCTTTGATTTTGTAATGGTTCTCGTCCTAGTGCTCGGCACGGGCTGGATGTATGGTGAATTGAGAACCTTTGTATATTCGATGGTTGTACTCCCTTTTGAGATAGCAATGTATATAAGTCGTGCTTTAAGTTTTGGATCGTTGTTATGTTTATTCTTGGTTTATTCTGGTTTCGATTGAGGATTGAAGTGAATGACTGAGTCCCGGCAAGAGCTGGGCAGGCGATCTGCTGACCCCTTTGGTTCGCCTTAGGGGAAGTGGGGCTGTCACAGTGGTAATGCCGAAAACCCTGGAAATAATGTGGGTAATCAGGGGAGAGAGGACCGTGCTTTAGAACGGTTCCAAAAGTTTGCACCTCCGAAATTTATAGGTGGACCCAACCCTGACTTAGCGGAGGGTTGGCTGGATCGTATATTGGATATATTTGCCGCGCTTAGGTATTCAGAGGAGCGGCAGATATCTTTTGCTGTACTTCAGTTTAAAGGGGCTGCCCGAGCTTGGTGGAATGTGATCAAGGCTAAGTGGGAGTCGGAACGGATTGCCTTGCAGTTTTGGAAAAAAATTGAATTGGCCACTGCCTTGAATCCGGCCGGATTCTGACGTGGCAGCTTCGGCAGTCACTTTGGACCAACTGTTTTCCTTGATAAATATCTTGTTTTGGCTGCTTTTGCTCTTCATTTTTCACCCTCCTTGGCCGGCTGTCTTGGAGAGAAAACAAGAAAGGAAAAACTGCATTTCTTCTCTTTGATTTCCTTCTTTGAATCTTGAGTTTTAACCGGTGGTTTTGGAAAATATTTCACACAAGGGCTCACTAGGGTGGTTTAAAGCTTTTGATGGATTGCTTTTGGATGGGAAGCTCTAAGTGGTTTAAAGCTTTTATTGGTTACTCGCTGAGCTTCTAGCTCACCCCAAAATGTTTTATTCCCCTCCACAGGGCTCGAAGCGAAGGAAGGGCTTGTAGTGCTTATTCATGGATTATCTCATGTATGGATTGAATTTGGATTTCCTTTGGTGTAATCGTTCATATTGGGATTGTATTGAACGTTTATAATTGATTGGATGTGTAATAGTCGAGGTTTGGACTTCCTCCTGTATACTAATTGTGATAAAGGATCAAAGTGGCGCCGCGGAAGCGTGGACGCTTCGCTTTTGATATGTAAATGTTGAAACATTTGAGTTATATTTGAGATTGTATCTTGTAATTTAATTGAGGACTGTAGTGATCGACTGAGTCCCGGCGAGAGCTGGGCAGGCGGCCCGCCGAACCCTCTGGTTCGCCTTAGGGGGAGGTGGGGCTGTCACAGTTGGTATCAGAGATTAGGCTTCAGATCTCTGTAGTGTATCCTAGGCTTAACGTTTAGGATGCCGGACTGTGGGTACGTAAGAATGAAAAATCGGACAGGTGGCATTAGAGTAAACCTTAGTGATTGTTTGGAATGTTTAAGTGATTCTTGCGGGATGTCTTGATTTGATTAGTACAAGATGGAATGTCGAGGATGACATTATTTTAAGGAGGGGAGATTGTGACGCCCCGTATGAAGGAGGGTTTTCATTTTATATATATCGTTGTTGGACGAGCGGAGGAGCGCAACATTTGAACTTGGAAAAGAAAAGAAAAGTTTTGAAAAAAAAAGACAGGGGCCAAATCCGGCCAGTTTCTGGCCGGATAGCTAGCCGGATTGCCTTGCAGTTTTGGAAAAAAATTGAATTGGCCACTGCCTTGATGGCCAAGAATCCGGCCGGAAATCCGGCCGGATTCTGACGTTGCAGCTTCGGCAATCACTTTTGACCAACTGTTTTCCTTGATAAATATCTTGCTTTGGCTGCTTTTGCTCTTCATTTTTCACCCTCCTTGGCCGGCTGTCTTGGAGAGAAAACAAGAAAGGAAAAACTCCATTTCTTCTCTTTGATTTCCTTCTTTGAATCTTGAGTTTTAACCGGTGGTTTTGGAAAATATTTCACACAAGGGCTCACTAGGGTGGTTTAAAGCTTTTGATGGATTGCTTTTGGATGGGAAGCTCTAAGTGGATAGCTTTCTTGAATTTGAGGTAAGTTGAATAAACAAGTTCCTTGTGGTTCAAATATTGGTTAATCTCGGGTTTGTGATGTTTGAATGTGTTATATTGTGGAGTATTTCATGGGTTTAAAGAATTTATGGTCAATTTCTGATTTATTGGGTATTTTTCTAATTTTATATTATAAGCATGGATTGGTCTTGAAGTGATAGCTTATGATGGTGTTAAATGCAATCGTTTGCGGAAAATTTCAGGGTCATGCGGAAATTCCGGTTGCTAGGGTTTTATTTAGGGATTTTCCATGGGTGACTTATAAGTTGCTAATTGCCTTTGATTGAAGGATTTTGTGGCCTAAATGGATATGTTTTATTGCTTGTGAACTATATGTGCAATTGTAGTTGACGGTTACGGATTTGGTGAATATTTGTAGGTTGGAAAATAAAGGAATTAAGGGGAAATGCTGTCCGATTTTGAATAGCGATGGTTACCTTAAGTTTCAGTAAAAGGCTTGGACTTGAATGATGAAATTGTCTATATTGGACGAGGATTGTGAGCCGTGGAGGTGAGTGACTTTAAACTGTTTCCAACGTTACCTTTGAATTGTTTCTTGCATCGTTTCTTTGATTGCATATCCTGTGTGCCGGCATATAAGTTCTTGACATGTTTTGGCTCAAATGAGTACTTGGAATTCGTGTGCTGGACCCCAACGTCTCCTCCACCGTTTAATGTTCCTGTAGAGCACCAATGGGCTCTTTCTCACTGTTCAATGTTAAATGTTCAATGTTAAATGATTGTTTGGAGCGTTGGACGTCTAAGTACCATGATTTCACTGGCTCCCGAGAGCAATGAAAGTGCATTGATTACTGAGTCATTGAATCATGACATTATTGAAATGAATGATTGTGAAACTGATTTGATAACTGGATTTTATTGGTTACTCGCTGAGCTTCTAGCTCACCCCAAAATGTTTTATTCCTCTCCACAGGGCTCGAGGCGAAGGAAGGGCTTGTAGTGCTTATTCCTGGATTATCTCATGTATGGATTGAATTTGGATTTCCTTTGGTGTAATCGTTCATATTGGGATTGTATTGAACGTTTAGAATTGATTGGATGTGTAATAGTCGAGGTTTGGACTTCCTCTGTATACTAATTGTGATAAAGGATCAGAGTGGCGCCGCGGAAGCGTGGACGCTTCGCTTTTGATATGTAAATGTTGAAACATTTGAGTTATATTTGAGATTGTATCTTGTAATTTAATTGAGGACTGTAGTGATCGACTGAGTCCCGGCGAGAGCTGGGCAGGCGGCCCGCCGAACCCTCTGGTTCGCCTTAGGGGGAGGTGGGGCTGTCACACGTTACCTGGGGAAGACGGCCGATCGCTTGGTTAGATTGTTGGAGGAGGCTAGAGAGATTGGCCACGGGCAGGCTATACGTATTAGGGAGTTGGAGCAGAGCCTCCGAGTTGAGGTGGAGAGGACGTATGCTCTTCATCGTCAGCTTTATGATACACACCAGCACCTCTTCGCTATGAAGGGGCAGCTGAGGGAGAGGGCTCGAGGTATCATGCTAGACTGTGAGATCCTATTAGATGTGGCCGCGGAGGCACCACCATGAGCTACCTGCCCAAAACTGATGGACGAGGTGGACACTTTATGTTCCGTTGGGAATTGGGGCCCTAGGGGAGGCGCATAGGGCTGTTATTAGAATTTCCTTTTGACTATCTGACATGTTTGTTTTTGTTATAACTAGTATGCCTGGTTTCTTTTGTTATTTGGAGGTTGACCACATTTTTGGAGCTGGAGTGCTCATTTAAATAATAGGTTTTGTACCGACCGGATGTCGGATAACTTGTATATCTTTTGGTGTGACTTTGTAAATATATGTATATATTTGAGTATAATCTTTTGAACTTATCTTTTGCGCGTCTTTTGTGTATATGCTTTGTGTTCTCTATTTCTTTCATGGCTTGAATAATAAGTACACGTTATGTTTCAATTTATAGACTTTTGAACCGAAATGGACTCCGGTGGTAGAGGTAGAGGGCGAGGAAGAGGCCCCGAAGGAGGAAATGAGAACGAGCCAGATCAGGTAGCTACAGTTATCCAGTGAATGGCTGACCTGTTAGAACGGATGGTTAACCAATAGGCTCAAGGCCAGGGAGGTTGTGAGAACCCTAAAATTTTCACAATTTCTTAGCCTTTTGTTTATTCTCACTTCCCCTTTTTAAGTGAAAATGTGTTAATCATTTGTTTTCAATAAAGGAAGGTTTTGATATTACGTGTATTTGGGTGAACGATATGTATATACGTGTATGTGTTGGAAGTACGGTTGAGCGTGGCAAGTGAACTAGGATTATTTTATTTCTTTGCCTACATTTTATACTTTCCTTGGAAATATTAAAATTTCTATGCATTTTTACAAGTAAGTACAGTTTTAAAATTATTTTCCTAGTATGAGTTAGTGTACGTTAGTTTGAAGTGCGTTATAGACGTGGGACCCGCTAGTGCGATATATTTTTGGTGACTAAGTGAGTTGTGTGCTAAGTGTTATTAATTTACTAGGTGTTTAGAGATAATTAGAGGTTACCAAATGGATTAGTATTAGTGAGACAAAAGGATAAGTGAAAAACCTAAAAGGTGCTAGGTGTCACCTTTCTATTGGACATAGACTTTGACCACTATTTATCACCTTTACTAAATGACCAAAATTGATCAAAAATTCACCATTTTCTTCATCATCTTGGCCGACTCTCTCAAGGGAAAAAAGAAAGAAAGCCTTCAACATTTTTCTTCCAAAACTTGCTCCAATCTTACAATCTAACCGATAGAACTCCAAATTGCTCCATAAAAACCCTTTGCTAAGTAGTATTGAGGAAGTTGGTGGAGTGGCTTGGAAGGATAAGGTGCTAAGTTACTTCTTTTCTTGAGTTTACAAGGTAAGTGACCAAGAGATTCTTCCTTTGTTCATGTTAGTGTTAAATTAGTGACTTGTGATAGTTAAGGTGGTGATTTAATGGAAGATTTTATGATTTTGGTAGAGATTGATGAATTTTTATTTTTATGCATGATTTTTCTGATTTCATATGTTTAGCATTGGTTAACTATGGATTAACGGTTTGTTATGGTGTAAAATGGAGTTGGTATATGTTGGAAATGATTGGTTGTGTAAAATTGTTGGTTTGAATGAAAATTCCAGCTTAGGGTTTCAATTGACCCTGTTCTGCCTGGTACTATTCGGATAGGATAAAGGCTGAATCAGCCTTAGGTTAAAACATGAAAGTTGTAGAGAATGATTTTTTATAGTTTCTTACAAAATTTCAACTCAATCAGAGTAACCTAGCCTATGAAAAGACAAAAATACCCGTGACCCTCATAGGTTTAGTCCAATGGATAATTTTGATATTTCACAACATTAACCGTGTCTGTTCACCATGATGTGTAATGAATTAGCATTTAACCACAACATGAAAGTTGTAGTACTATGCCTTATCTTTCCAACCCCCTTGGAATCACCTCGTTTGGACTTCGGTAGCCTGAGTTATTGTTGGTTAAACATGGCACGGTTAACTGACCTGTTTGTGCGCTTCTGGTTTAGTGATTCGAAATTTTGACCTAGATACACTATGAACTGGACTAGGTGATCTTCATAAAAGTTGTAGCTCTCTTCCTTAGCTTTGAAACGGGTATAAATTGCATCCCAATCCGATAAGCGTAGCCTCGATTGTGTCCGTTACGCAAAATAACGTCAAATCTATCTTTTGTTTCTTGACTCAACCTTCATTTCTGCACATGCTCCTAGCTTGATTTTGTACTTGTATGACTTGGAGCCTATGGAATGGCTATTGAAATGAGATGATTTTGTGTATGACTTTGGGTTTGATTGAGGAAAAGAATGAAGCCATAAATGGCTGAAAAATAGGTAAATACAAAGAGCGTGCTGCCCAAATTTACGCTCGAGAACTAGGTCGATATACTTGCGACTTGAGTAAGACTTGAGAGCGAATACCACGTGAATCATCTAGGGTATTTATGTTTTCTTTGCCACTTCGACTCAAATAGAGATTTTAAAGTTTTACAAGTGAGTCTAAGTTTTACAAATATTTTACTTATGTCCTTTGGTTTCAATGTATTCTTTTCACTATCAAAATCATATTTATACTTTGTACTAGTACGTATTCGACTTTTCTTTGACTCACTTACATCTTTGATGATTGAAGCATAATGTGTTCATTTGATTATATTAGGATACCTTGGTGATTGAGAGTGTATCCGGAAGGAAATTTTGGACTTTATTTTGCTTAAATAGGTGAGTGTTCCTTGTTGTTATGTTACTCTTGACTATATGCCTTGTTCCATGTTATGGATATTTGATTAAATGTTAAATGCTTTCAATGATTGCTAAAAACGAGTTTTCTAGGCGAGTGTGTACTTTATCGCACTCGACCTAAATGAATGTGAAATTTTCAATGATTGAATGATTATATATGCATGAATGTAAGCCATTGGCTGAACTGGGCCCTGCCCTTCGTTACTGATCGACTCGAGCCAGAAGCGGACTCGGTCGGGCGATTTAGTGACCCTGGGTGAACGTTTGGTATACTCGAATATTATCTTGTTGTCGGATGGAGTCCGGCCAACGTCCCGAAGGGGGTGAAATGAAATGAATGAATGAGTGGCAATGAATGAAATGAAGGGTTTTACTTATCAAAATGCATTTTCAAATAATTGGAGGAATAAGGGGGAATGACAGGAGAATGAACAAACGAACGAACGAACGAATAGCTCCATATGAGCCCGTATCCTTTTAATGAATGTGTTGTTATTGCTTTCCCTTGTACATGTTTCTTGGACTGGATTGACTATTTGTTTATGTGTTTGGAACCTCACTGAGCTTTTGGCTCATCCCTTTAGTTTTGTTTTCCTTAACATGGGAAGGCGAGCAAGGACGAGAGAGACTAGCCTGGACTAGTTTCTTTGATTTTGTAATGGTTCTCGTCCTAGTGCTCGGCACGGGCTGGATGTATGGTGAATTGAGAACCTTTGTATATTCGATGGTTGTACTCCCTTTTGAGATAGCAATGTATATAAGTCGTGCTTTAAGTTTTGGATCGTTGTTATGTTTATTCTTGGTTTATTCTGGTTTCGATTGAGGATTGAAGTGAATGACTGAGTCCCGGCAAGAGCTGGGCAGGCGATTTGCTGACCCCTTTGGTTCGCCTTAGGAGGAGGTGGGGCTGTCACAGTGGTAATGCCGAAAACCCTGGAAATAATGTGGGTAATCAGGGGAGAGAGGACTGTGCTTTAGAACGGTTCCAAAAGTTTGCACCTCCGAAATTTATAGGTGGACCCAACCCTGACTTAGCGGAGGGTTGGCTGGATCGTATATTGGATATATTTGCCGCGCTTAGGTATTCAGAGGAGCGGGAGATATCTTTTGCTGTACTTCAGTTCAAAGGGGCTGCCCGAGCTTGGTGGAATGTGATCAAGGCTAAGTGGGAGTCGGAACAAACCCCCTGGACGTGGGTTAACTTTACTTGGGAATTTAATGAGAAATATTTATCTCCCATTGTGCAAGAGGGATGTGAGGATGACTTTATCCGCCTACACCAAGGGGCATCTAGTGTGGCGGAATATGAAACCCAATTTACAAAACTCTCTCGCTTTGCTCTAGATTTGGTGCTAACGGAGCAAAAGCGAATCTGCCGTTTCGTCCAAGGTTTAAATGTGGAGATTCAAGAAGCACTAGCAGCTGCTCAGTTAGACACATTTAGCCAAGCATTAGAAAAGGCTCAGAGAATTGAGACTGCCAGGGGACAAGTCAAAGCCTTCCATGACCGGAAAAGGAGACCACCTGACTCGAGCAACTTCACGGATGGACAAAACTCGAGAAACGAGCCACCCTCTAAGATAGGCCGAAGAACTGGTTGTCCACGAGATAATGTGGAAAAAGGTTAGGTAGGGCAAAGGTTCCAGAGGAGTGCTCAGCATAGAGGGTCAACAATAGGAACTAAGCCGACCTGTGGTTTCTGTGGGGGCAATTACACTGATGAGAATTGCTGGAAAAATAGTTCGGTATGAAAATGCTTTAAATGTGGTAGTACGGAACATGTGATTGCTCAATGCCCTAAGATACAGAAAGAAGGACATAAGCCATCGACAGAAGGGACCACAGCTAAACCGACCAATGTAGCGGGGAATCGACCCAAAGCATCGGCCAGAGTATATTCAATGGGTCATCAAGAAGTGTCTGACCCTGCGGCAGTCATCGACGGTACGCTTTCTAGAAAAACTTATCATATGATCTAGAAATACCAACCCCCTATTACCAATAAGAGTATAATTGCTAGTGTGGTATACAAGGGAGGTGAGGTATGATAGGAGAACGGAAATTGTAGGTAGACTTTATCGAGTTAGCTCTCAAGGGTGCATGGAGGCATTTAGTGATGTAATGAATGCTCCAGTGGATCAGTTGAAGGTAGAAAACGTACCAATGGTATGTGAAGTTTAGATAGAGACGTATTCCTCTCTGTTCGCAAACTAAGGTATTAATTTCGAGGATGAAATTGTTCGAAGAGGGGGAGGTTGTGAGACCCCGGATAGTCCTTAATTTTGAAATTATGTGATATTAATAGCATTTGTTCTATTTTGTACTAAATTATTAGAAAACCCTAAATTGGATTATATATAAAATCCTAGTTTTTGTATTAATCACCAATTTGAGTTGTGATTCATGTTTGGTATTCTAGAGTGTGTGAAATTCTACCACCTTTCGTTTGCAATCCAGTTGGGTGTTATACCTGGCTAACTAGTCCATGCCTAAGATTACATCGTACCCCTTAATAGACAGGCTTATCAAATCCCCCAATAATTTTCTCTCTCCTATCTAAACCTCGCAGTCCTTATAAACCATGCTAGTGATCAAACGATGGTCCCCCGTCGGCGTACTAACTTCTAGATCGTAAGGTAAACTAGCAGGTTTTATATCAATGCCACACATGAAATTAGGGTTAACAAATGAATGGGCGGCACTGGGATCTACTAAGACCTTCGTAAAGCGGTGGAATACAGGGATTATACCTTCTACGACCTTGGAAAAGTCAGGGACCTGCTGTGGCACTAACGAGTACACTCGAGCCGCTACCTTGGGTTCGCCCCTTCTCCCTTAACTGGTCCGGAACTGGTCCTTGATGGTTGTTGACCTCCCTTTCCATCTTGTTTTAGAATTGGGCAGGTGGCAAGCTGGTGGTCTGCGCTTCCGCAGCGCAGACACTTTCCTTGCTTCTTCCAGCAGTTGTCCTCTGTGTGGTTTGGCTTTCCGCAATACCCACAAGGTCCACGAGACGCCGAATCCGAACCTCTCTGGAAACCTCCTCCCTGGATTCTCCCAATTGGGCCACCTCTTGACTGAGCCCCTCTACCTACGCTCGACTGCCTTCCACCTCCGGCTCCTCGTCTGAACTTGGGAGGAGCACTCTTATCCCCCTGCCCTGAACTGCTCCCAAAAAATCTTCGCTTCTTCGCCTGAAAGTTTCTAAAAGGCAAACCCATACACGGGAGAGCATGCTAGTTCCAAATTTTGTTAATTATTAAAATAGAGGGAGACATTAATCTAAATTTCAAAAGTACAAGAAGATGTTACAATAATATTCAAAAGAAGATAGAATTAACGTTTACATTTCCTTATAGATGGGAATCCTAATCTATCAACTTGCATTTCCCTTCTAATTGCCTTTGAGAGGTCTAACTCTTTTGTGTAAATCAAAGAAGATCAAATGACCCACTTTTCATTAGATAAGGCATCAGGAACCTTATTAGATTCACGAAAAGTATGTGAGACATTATCCATCACATTGGCTATCCGCAAAATCTCTTCCAACCCACGGGACGCCATACTCTCCCGTGTATGGGTTTGCCTTTTAGAAAAATGGTAGTACTATTTTGAGTTTTTTAAATACTTTTTTAGGTATTTGAAAATACTAATATTATAATTTACTTGTCCTTTGGACAATACATTATTTCAATAACATTTGTTACTAGTACATTAAAAAAACTTTTGTTTCAAAACTACTTCATTTTCATTAATACAACAAATGGTGATGAAATCTTGAAAATATTACTTATATAGGAGGGCCAATGAGACTCTAATCTGCTGACTAAAATTGAGGCTATAGAACTTAGAAATCCTATGTTCTAACATCTCTTCCTCCTGCCTTCTTCTTGCTTCTTAACCATCTCTCCCTTGCTAGAAAAAAAAACATAAGAGGAACTTCTTACAATGTGTAAAACATTAGCTTGTTAATTGTTTTACTTTTGCTTTTATAATAGTTATTCTACTATCTGATGATACTGTAGTCTATTAATCTTTTGGACATCAAAGAGTCTTGGTATCTTTTCTTTTTGGTTTGTATACGCTGCTATAAATTCATATTTCTTAATTACTTTATCATCATTAATCCAACCTATAGCAATGAAATTTTGAGGTTTATATATGTAAGATGCAGTTTGTAGCATATCTGGTAGTACATTTAAAAAACTTTTGTTTCAAAACTAATTCGTTATCGTTAATGCAACCAATGATGATCAAATCTTGAAAATATTACTTATATAAGAGGGCCGATGAGACTTGGTCTAGTGATTGAAGATGAGACTATAGAACTTAGGAGTCCTCGACTCTAATCCCCCTACTCTCTTCCCACTTATTAAAAAAAATGCATAAGAGGAACTTCTTACGATTTGTAAATCAATAGCCTGTTAATTCTTTTACTTTTACTTTTATAGTATTTTGTCTACTAATTTGGTCTTGTTGTTATAAATTCATATTTCATAATTACTTTGTCATCATTAAACCAGCCTATAGTGATGAAATTTTGAGGTTTATCTAGGCAAGATGTAGTTTTTGTCATGTTCAATAGTACCATTAGTCAAACAATTAGGTACTAAATTTTACCATATTCAATAATGCTATTTTTTATTTTCATAGGACTTCTTTTAATATTTCACAGCACTAATACTATAACTTAATAAATTTTTATTGCTAAAATTATTTAATGATTCATGCGGCACTATTATACTTATTATATTTGTCTTTAATTATTATTTCATGATAATTAATGCAACTACTATGTCTTTCATAATAATATTTATTGTCTATTATGATTTGAATTATTATGACACAACTAATAACATAATATTTAATTTAATTTAATTTTGAATTTTAATTTTTCATTACTACAAAATGAAGTTGCTAGTACCTTTTTTGTAAATGAAATAATACTCTGTGGATCTCTTATAGCAGTTTCCTTTATATTCAATGATATGATGGTGTTAAAAAGTACAATATTCTATTAAAGAAACCGATTAATAAGAAATTAATTTTGTTAATTTGATATCTTATAAGATGTATATGGATATGTCATAAAAAATATAGCAATAACTTGTTATAGCAAGTTATCGCACATTTAGAACAATGTATACCATGTACTAAGCTCTATCTTTACTAAATGATGTGGCAATAATGTATTAGATTTATATTGAGGGAATGGTTCCCTTAAAAACAATAAAGTGACCATAGAATTTCCTATAACATCATTAAAGACTCTCTTGTTGTTCTGTATGTGTAATTCTTTTTCAAGGTTTGGAGTGATCAAGCAACATGTTTGAATTTTGAAAAAAAAAAGAAATTGTCTAATCTGAGTTAGGTTTGTATACTTTAAATTAGTGGTCTACTAAGTTTTTGATATTTGATCATAAATGATGTTTAGCATGTTCATTGCTTTAGTTTGTTTTTATAATTTTTTTTAAGTGGGAAGCTTTGAACCTATGACTTCCTTTTAATAATCCCTCCTACCTTACCTTTTTTCATTTTATAAGTGGGAAAATATTCGACTTACAATCCCTTCTACCTTACAACCCAACCCAACCTTCCCCCATGTTCATTGCTTTAGTTAGTTTGTTAACTTATGTCATACGAAAGTGTGACTATTTTTTTCCATAAAATATGTTTTCAACCAGTCTAATGATGATCAAGAGTTTGATTAATGTATTTGTTTCTTATTCCTTAGTATTATGAGATGTTTTGCCATGTTTTGGATTTGTACGTGTTTCAATCTTTTTTTTTAAATTAGTTCTATTTTGTACTAAATTATTAGAAAACCCTAAATTGGATTATATATCACATCCTAGTTTTTGTATTAATCACAAATTTGAGTTGTGATTCATGTTTGGTATTCTAGAGTGTGTTTTGGTACAAGTAAGTATAGGATTCAATTTATTTTATATAGGTTAAGTAAGTTTAAAAGTTAGAAAACCTCAGACTAGTAAACCCTCTAGTGTTCCAATAGATTAGAAAGCTTAAGTTGGGTTTAAAACCCTAATTTTGCCAATGTTATAAAGGTTGTTGTTTAAGTATTTTTATTATGGAAAAAGTATGATTAAGTGTAGATGATTAAGTTAGTAGGGTGATTAGTAGAGAAATTAAGTAAGATTAATGAGTTTGGATTAGATTAAGTTAATGACCTATGGACTAATTTGCAAAGAATTAAATGTTTAAGGACAAGAGTTGATTACATGCAAAGTTGGAGTGTAAGGGCTAAAGAGCAAATTGGGAGCTTTTATGTGATTGGTTGTTAGGAAAAATATCTTCTTAGGCTTTGACTAAGCTTATATTGTAGGATTTGTGAGATAAAGCTAAGAAATAAAAAAAACAAAATCAAAGAGAGAGAGAGAGAGAGGGAGTTGGCCGAACCTAGAGCAAGAGAAGGAGAAGAAAATTCTTCCAAGTTCATCATTTTTTTAGCTATCCATCTTGAGTTTGGATCTTGAAGGAACAACTTGGAGCTTGAGTTTTGGAAGATCAACCTAGGAAACTTGCAACTAGAAGGTAAAACTCTCACTTGAAAACTTGGTAAAGTTAAGGTTGGCCTTTGATGGATTAAAATGATGTTTTATGGAGTTGT